CCGATCCGACCATTTTATGAATATACCTTGTTTTTTAAAAGGACTGAAGAAGCCATTCAGAAAACATCTGAACCCTCCAATAAAGGTAAAACACAAACATATGGACAACATCCCCCCCGAATCCAAATGACATTTTTCACAAACAGATACAGTCGTCACTTAAAAACTGAACAGCGAGATTCAATACCCCTAACAGAGCCAAGCAACCTGGGTAGTTCCAGGGCTAATCACGCCGGCTTAAGCGCCTACCTATTCTGCACCAATATGTGGTGGCAAGTGGCGTTTTCCTCCTTTTACGGGCATTGCAACAGCTTGTGGCTGAAATTCAGTAGGAGCCATGGTTTTAAAGGAGGTTTTCCCCACCGGCTGCCAACCTCTGTGCTGGAAAATTAAAGGGCTCCATGCCATTTACACCAAACAGAATGGCTCGCTTTTAATTTCCTTAGTCCCCACTCAGATCAGCAACATGACTTTCAGGGGGCCTTGTGAAAATGGCCACAGGCGCTCGGAAACGCAGCAAAGATGCTGGTGGGCAAACAACTGGAGATGCTCTGAGGAGGGGGGGAACCAGAATTAAAGTTGCCGGATCTATGTTTCCAGTGGCGTGGAGAGGAAGGCCATCCTCTGGCGCTCTCAGGCTGGCTAGCAGGCTGGCCTAGGAGCCATCCATCTCTTTAAACTTCTAAGTCTCTGATGCAGCTTCATTCTTGACGTGGGATGGGGAGACTATCGTTTGGGGCATCAGGTTCCCTCGGGGAAATCTGTCGGGGGGTCACAAGCACTGCGCTCCTTCTATTTCCCTTTCATTTATCCTCCCCATCATCCTCTCTGACAAACACGTTTCCTAATTGAGAGGTTATTCACTCTCGCCACGAGCCTGAACTTGCTGCTTGTAAAGAAGTTCTGAAATTAGGCCAAAGGCTTCAGAGAGACAAAGCGCCCTGCTTCTGCTCTGATGCATTTATGGAATGCTTAAAAAGTCCACCAGACATCTATTAGCGGAGAAATGTGTCCAGCATGCCAAGTGCTGATCTGGAAGAATGTGATTCTTGCTTTTATTGCCACAGCTAAGCCCTACCTGGCCAGAAAACCTAGCAGCGGGGTAAGAGAGAGTCAACCTGAACACAGGTAAGGATGGACCGTTGCCACTGGACCACGGACATTTCCTGGGAGAATGAAACAGGTTGCGTTACTTAAAAGATAGGGTTTACTCAAGGGTTTTATTTGAACTGCTGGATAGTTCAGTGGTTTAGCGATCTGGCTGTGGAGACCTGCAGTTCTTAGGTATTATAATCTGAAAGGAATTTACCTCCTGGGTCAGACAGCTAACCATTTACCTTCTTTCCCCGCTGTGTGCTACATGTCTCAACTATGCACCACTGTTTATTATCTGTTCACAATCACTTCGTGTCTAACTGCCGTAAGCCACTTTGAATCGTTTTTCATGAAACAGCATCCAGTGAGTTTTAAGAGCCACAATGGTGGCGATCATAATGATATAATCATAGCAGCACTGTGGTTAAGAGGACTGGCCGGGACTTGGGAGACCCAGGCGCTGGTATCCAATGAGCTACAAAATTTTCCAGGCCCCCTTGGGTCAGTCTTGATCCCTCTTTCAGCTTGAGGCCTCTCACGAGGATCACTGTGAAGAGTGGGAAGGACCACAGCTGTCTCTCTCTCCTCCTTGAGTCTGGCAGCAGAGCCGCAAAGGAGGTCAGCAAAAATCCCTTACGTGTATTACAGGAAAGGTGGAGTACAACTGAAATAAATGAATGACTAACAGGGATGGGAGGGGAACAATGTGTGAAATGTCCCGCTTTAGGAAAGATAAAATTGACATTATATCCCCAGCTCTAGCGTGGCTCTTCCTGATGTTTTCACAAGACCCAAAGTTTGGTTTTCCATTTCCTGTTCCATGTCAACCTACCCAAGGCCTTTGTTTCCATCAACAGATGTCACTTTCTTAAATAACCAATATCTGATTTTTTTTTAAACTGGGGAAGAAACCATTTTTTAAGGAGGGGTAGATTTTGGTTAAGTCCGTTTTGCCCGCAGCAGCAGTCCAGCAGAGTGTGGTTTTTGGGGTGGCTTGGCCGAGGAGGAGAAAAAAGCATTGCTAGAAGCAGTTTTATGGGACCATTTGATTTGACAAATGATGGCACCTCCTCTGTGTTTGTTTTGCCTGGTGCTTCTCCTTATCTTTTAAATGCTCCATCCTGCTCTTTCAAGACTTTTTTTTGCTAGCCTAATGTGCTGTTTTTATCTGAGCTCCACCAGCCTGTCCCATTGTCTTTTTTTCTTTCTTTCTTCACTTTCGTTTGAACAGCTCTCTGGCGTTTCCACTATAACTTTTTTAAACTGCTTCAGCCAGTCAGTCAAAGGTGGGCCATCAACCACCACAGTTAAATAAATATGAGATGGATGATATTTTGCTCAGGCGAGGAAGCTGTGAGCCTGTGGGGGTTTTTTGTCTCCCTATTTTTAGTTATCTAGATGGGGGTCAGCAAACCTGCCTCTGTTGCAGACAAACCTAAATGTGAGGGGGGCCTCTGAATGCTGCAGCCCTAAGCCCACTCACCAAGCAGCAAGCCTTGCTGAACACTGCTCGACTACATCATCTGCTCACAGCTTAAATGCTAGGTGTTTTGTTTTTTTGCACTAGAACTCCAGAATCCTTCAGACAACATACCTGCGGTACCAATTCTGAGAACTAGCCCACATCTCCATGCTCTCTGTTCTTCTCCTTGGAGAACAGAGCTATCTCCAGATAGCTAGGAAAAAGTGAGGTATCCCCCGCAGGCAGTTGGGTACCCAAAGGCGAAGAGCACAGAGGCAGGCCCCCAGCCTTTTCTCCCAAGTGGTCTTACCTACCTCCCCCTTTT